CTGTTTGGGCAAAGATTTCTGGGATCGCCAAGGGGCATACATTGCAAACATTGCAAGTTTCTAGAAGGAAATATATGGCAAAAGGTCGTTTCGACGTCCAAAAGCGATTTTAGAGAGACATTAAAGCTCTTTAGCCGCTGTTTTATCAGAAATGGATTATGATATTGCTGATACGAGGGAAGTGTAAGGTTTTGTTTGAATAAACACGAAACATGTTATAAAAAATACCCATAAACTTCTCTCTTTTCGTAAGGTCTATGGTGAAATCGTCATCACGCAATGGTCTCGAAGTATCACAAAATTAGCCATGAATCGCTGGTAAATAACTCAATTAAGTCTTTTCATTTGTATTCATGTGTGTTAGCCTGCATTCATACTTGTTAATCGTTTTGACTACGGCTCCTGAAAAATTACAAATCACGGCCGTCTGAAAATAAACACCCTCAAAGAAGAGAAGTCGTTGTGAGGGGAAATTTAGATTATACGTAGAAGAAATGTTTCAGGTATGGACCGATTATCACCGCTGATTTATTCCCATCGAACTCAACAAATAAGCGATGTAGCTGTTTTATCACTTAAATGTATCGCGATAATATTATGCTCAAACAAACCATTTCAATCTCCTGCCGCTTCGAGGTAGCTGCTGTGGAGCTCTTTTTTTTATTATCAGGCCAAGAAAACAACTAGAACAAGAATTAATACACGTAAATAAAAATTCAATTACTTTATTTAGTTATTTAACTTTTTATCAGCATTACCTAACTCCATTTTCATAAAAAAGGCAGCGAAAAAACCATGATCTATATTCAAAAGCCTTTCTTGGGACGTGGAACAACCTTTCGCCATATATTTCCTCCTAGCAACTTGCAGTGTTTACCCCGTGGCGATCCCAGAAATCTTCGCGCAAAGACGAGGGTCCGATTCTTGCGGCTCATTTTTTTTTTTTTTGCTGAGCAATTCTGCTACTGTATAGCGTGTACCTATTATTTTAAGTTTTGTAATCGGCTCCAACGTATTTAGAGGTTTAATAAAGGAAAACTGACGTCAAGGAGGCAATCGCTAAGTGCGAGAAGGCCGGTAAAACTGATTTTAATATGAAAGAGAACTCAGGGAGAATTAGTTAGAATTCGATCGAATAGCGTTTTGTTTTTAATTGATAATTCTCTATCTCCTTAATACATCTGTTCCTTTTAATTTTATCAAAGAAAATGAGGTAGATGCAAAACATTTTAATTTCTTTCTTTGCCGTTATAGAAGCAGTTAAGAATTAAAATAACATGGTATGGAAACTCCTCTACACAGTACCCTTAGTTCTAAGGAACCTGGACATTTGGATGATCAATCCTCTCCGTCAGGAGTTAGATCTGTCTCCCCTGACCCTTGTGCGAACCTATTCGACCCATTTCAGGGCTCAGCTTCCCACAGGGATCAAGAGTGCGCTTTTTGCCGTTCAAAGAGCGGGCCTTTTAAAAAGTGTCTTGGATGTGAAAAAGTGTTCTATTGTGATAAAACAAGCCAGAAAAAGCATTGGAATAAACACAAAACTGACTGCAGATGGAAAAGGAAACTTTGAGGATGCGGCAGGACGCGTGCGAGTCTCCTTTCATTCCATAAGGACGATCAGAAACGATTACACAGCCAAAAAGTTATTTTATTGGTACCAAATGATTTGATCACTTGAAACGGAAACATTGATTACGGGAATAAATATCACTTTTAGGAGTCGTTTCTATTCCTGTCCATTCAATGATATTTTTCTGACTAGTTTCACCATTAGTGTTTATTATCTTATTTTCTTTTGCATTTTTTTTTCTTCTCTTTCACAATTTTGTTCTGATGCTCAAGTAGTGTAAAGATTTTTGGTAGCCGGGAGTAAAGATGAATTTTTCCGATTGTGGTTCAAACATATAAAAAAAAAAACAAAGCAAAACAAAGTGAACCAAACCACAGGAACAGTGAATGGTTTTTCGCAGTTTATTTGAAATCTTTAAACAAAATTGGTGTTCTTTCTTTTAACAGACATATATTCTTTTTTTTTAACATAGAGTGTACTTGAGGATAATTATTTCTTCTCTAAGCAAAGCTTCATATGTATTTATTTCAGCTTATATTATCATTAATAGCAGCACAAATAGTATCAGCTGTTATCAGCATCAATTTTACTGTTAGTATAAGTTGTGATGGCAATTGATTTTCCAAAATCGAAAGTAAATGGGAAGCCGACAACCCGCGTAGAGTTATAGTCTAAATATCCATTTAAAAGTATCATTGTCCAAAATCAACTGTTTCCCAACATCTTTAATTAGCTTTTTCGTTTCGGTTATCGTTTGGCAGTCCTGCTAAGAGACTTGCCATGTAGAAACATACCCACTTTTAGTCGAAAACACTGGTGGTAAAGACTACAGGCGCCCCAAGCTCATGTCTTGAGAAATAACAAAAGATGACTTCCTGAAAGCGTCATAAGTGTGACGCGATGTTAAGTTACGAGCGGAACCGTTGAGAATTTGAAAGCGTTGTGAGGAACAGTATGGGGAACGAAATATGGTCGATTTACAACACTAAGTATTACAAAATAAAAACATTTTACACGTAAGATTAATAAAACTTGTTCAATCCTTGTTTGTCCGTTGTATTCAAATCATACGTGCTCGCACTCAGAAGTTCTTCTACATATTTCAAACAATCAATTAATCATTCCACCTTAAACAAACTTACCATTCAACTGAACTAAGATACGAAGTGCCATCGTATCTTCCAACAACCACATAAATAAAGCCGTCAAGGACTCTTGCTCCACATCCACTCCATGGAGTAGTCACTGGCGTCGCTGGCACCTACTCATCCTTGCCAGGATCGTACTTCTCTACTGTGTCATACCTATGGTCGTGATCACAACCTCCGATGGCATTAAGTACCAGAATACTCCCAGAGTAGCTAAGCCTACTTCATTTTCCACAGAAAAGATATGAGTTGCACTGCAGGTAGCTCGATAACATATACGCGAGGATCGATAGTGAAAATTGTTACAGGCTATATATTAATTGAATAAAGGCTGATAGTTTCGAAAGAAACTGTTTGGGGCTGCGTCGGTGGGAGTAACGAAATAATTTGGATATATTAACAAAGTTGAAATGGTAAATATATGAATTGACCAAGTACTGCCAACAGCGATCCTTACCTTATAGTATTAAAGCGTATCTCCTGGAATGAGGCTTCGAGAAT